TAAATAGCAAATGCAGGGCAGCAAGTACATTTATTTTTTATACCAGAAGCACAAACCCAAAATCTATTTAGTGTCACCCACCACAAGACTCAAAATCAGTATATCAAAGAAGTGTAATGGAAAGAACAGAAAGGATCTCAAGGAGTTCAGGAGTGACTGGAAAATGTGAATTTAGTATCACAGAGCCACGGAGTAAAATTTTTTACTTCGAAAGATGCAGGATAAAACAGACAGAGTATCAGTACAGGAAAAAAATCCAAGATCCTCTCAAGCATCTCTGTGATATGGTTGTTTGCTAAAGGTGGTTCTTTTATTTTTGTAAACTTATAACTATGTTTGTAAGCAAATGTCTTTAATTGAAAAGCATTAACAAGTACAGATACAGTACTTAAACACACGAGAAGTAAGCCTGAGACCAACATCATCCTAAAACAAAATACTTTCTTATACTTAAAATTTTATCACAGACTCCAAAATGCATTAGGAAAAAGACTTTGCACCTTATGAGTCCTGCAAAATTTTCCAGGAGACTGTTTTCCAGCGTAAGAACTACCACATCTAACAAAGCCTGAAAAGCTTTACCACAAGGTCATGAATTTCTTCAGAGAACCATTTTAATCTTGTATTACCCTAACCTACCAGGAAAAAATGGAACAAAGCCACTGCTTAAGGTTTTTCATAGCATTTTTCCATATTAATATAGTCAATAGGACTACAGAAATCCTTTTGTCTCAGTTTAATGTAGATTTTATTTCACCAGTTCATAAATATTAACCCATACATGGGAAAAAAAATCTAAGAGAAGCTGGGAACTAAAAAATAGCCTAATATTGCTATATATTCCCTTCCCTTATCTTAAGTAATTTCACCAGTACTCCACTGTTTTAAAATCACATTGCAATCAAATGCAAGCTGTTTGGGAACAAAAAGAAAAGGAAGGGAACGGAGAGCCAAAAGGGAGCTTTATTTTTAAAAATTTCTGTAATTACATCTGATCCATGGGGTGGATGATACTCATTAACCATTGAACTTCCTGCCTGATAATCCAGAATTCTTCAACTCTATTACTGAGCCACAGGAATCCTGACTTGGGGATCCTCTTCCAGGACACTCAGGCCTCTGATCTTCAACTGGACTACGTGCTATTTATGTCCAAAATTGTACCATTCGTGGAAATAGAATACTTCAGATGAAAAGGCCCAATAGCATATCCTCTGCCAGTTCAGCCCCTGACCTGCTCAGCGGTGCCTAAAACCATTCAGCAGCTGCGCGGCGCAGTTGCACTGTGAGCAACTGGTGTGATGTTCTGGCCGTATCGAAAGGTGACTGCTCAAACAAACTTTCTTGGATAAAGTCATAGATATCATTTTAAGAACTGCATAAAAAGCAGAACAAGCATACTAGCAGCCTTCTTAAAAAATAAATACTTCAACAAAATAGCCTACCAATGCCTCGGACCTCCTTAGAGCACACAATATAACCAGGATGATCTGATGCAGAAGGGAGGAGCTGTTACTGTATATGGCTTAGTCACTGGTACATACGATCACCTACTACCAATGCTTTAAAAACCAATGTTTGACTATTACTTTACATCCACAAGAAAGTTAGAATCCAGAAGAGATGTCTACTATTTGCATTCCAAGAAAGTACCCATGCAGAACAAGGCTTTAATGTTTGCTGTTGGATATAGAATCATAGAATCGTTTAGGTTGGAAAAGACCTTTAAGATCATCCAGTCCAACCATTAACCTACGCTACCAAGCCCACCTAAACCAATCAAGGGTAGACTAGACTAAACCATATCCCGAAGTGCCACATCTACCTGTTTTTGAACACTTCCAGGGATGGTGACTCCACCACCTCTCTGGCCAGCCTGTTCCAATGCTTGACTACCCTTTCCATGAAGAAATTTCTCCTAATTTCCAACCTAAACCTCCCCTGGCGCAGCTTGAGCCCATTTCCTCTCGTCCTAGTGCAGACGAGATCTATACCTCCAATCTAGGAGTCGTGTATTTAAAATCAAAACGTCCAGCTATGTCCTCATGTGCACAATATTAATGCATCAGTCTTGGACTGTAGTACGAGTACAACAGTTCATTGCACAGATCCCCAATTACTCCAACCACATCTTGTACAGAAGACTGCGTTTTACTCCATGCAAAGTGGAACACCGTCAAACTCCTTAAATCGACACCATAAAGTCGCTGTTCCTTATACATCCCAATTCAT